TGATGAAGTCCAGAACTTGGGGAGCATCTTTCGCTAAATACGCCCTCCTTTTCCCGGGGATACGGGGACGGGGATATACTCCTGGAGAACCACCAGAAATAGTAGTGGGCCGCGCCGTCAGATAAACAGTCCACAAACGAGAAATGGGAAACATCAGCAGTCTGAAAAAAATTCCAAGCAATCTACGACCTTTCTCCGACCCCCTCTGGGAATACTTGAAGTACGGCGTGCCCCCGTCAGGTGCAGGCAAGTAGTGAATCACGAGGTTCACGAGACTCACGTTTGCTTTCTGAGTTCCTTCAGTACTGCTTCAAGTTGCTCGACGGTGTTTTTCAGATTGTCAGCATAAATTGTCTGCGACTCGTACTTTTTCAGTACGTTTTTCCGTTCCAATTTATGGATAGCTTTCTCCAGATTGATGTAATCCTGAATGCAATAAAACTATCGTTTCATGATAACCCCCTAAGGAGGCGTTAGCTTACCTGGACGACTCCCTCTGTGAGTTGAATTCGTTCCACAGGCGGTTTTTCTCGGCGTTTTTCGGAATCCGTACTGCGATGGCTTTTTTTGTCTTCACCGTCACTCTTCGAGCTCATCTCGTCATCGTTCGGAGACGTCAACGGACTGACTTTCGCTGATTTTTTGTCTGAAGCTTTACCATTTTGTTCTCAACGGATTGTATCATGAAGGCATTCTTAAGCTCAGAATATCCCCTCCAAAAAACGTACTGAGAGAAGTGATCGATTTTTTGTCGTCGTCGCTTTTGTCCGGTGTCCTTATGGAAACGTTGTCCGCCCATCGTTCTTTCTGGAAAACTGGTGTTGAAAGTCGTGACAGCAAGCCCCATCACGAATTTACTAGTAACATTCAGTTTTCACAATCTGCTATCACTCATGAATCACATGAAAGTATGGTCCCATAAACAAGGCACGGCTACAGGGGAGGGTCTCCAAGCAGGAGGAGAGGGCTGTGTCTGAGTCGGTGATAAGGGCCTGCTCTGGGTCTAAAAGGCTATGAGAACTTCAACAAGATTTTGATAGATTTTTAGTGTTCTGAGGCATACAAAGGTCTCCCCACCCCTTACTCTCTGACCGATGGGTCTGTTAGAAACTGAAGGCAAGAAGATCGGCGAAGTTGTTTGAGTCGAGGTAATGTCAAGCTTTCAGTCGATAGGGACCGTATTAAGGCAGATGATGTGCGTTGTGGTGAGCGATCAGTTTTCCTCATCACCGTGACGTGTCCCGGCAGACATGCCAATTCTAAGGGCAAAATCGAGCACTTATTGCGCATAGCTAGCCAGCAAAAATGGGCATCACTACAGATGACTTGCAGAGCTGGCTACAAGTCAATGTTCTTATCCTTCCGGACCAATCCAAAAGCAATTTACCGTCTTGAATTTTGGGCGAAAGCCAAGCGGGACTTGATCCCTGATGGTGAGACGTGATTAGCTATCACTTGCCACCCACCTTTTCCACAATCATATTCATGACCGAAGGCGTAGCGTTGAACGCGTGGGCGGGGTCAGACTTACATGCTACTGTGCTTTTTTCAACGGTGTGCACTCATTCACCCTATGAGAGAGCAAGAAGGAGTGTTCGCAGGCTGACGAA